AATATTAAGCCTTCATACCAGGAAATTTCACACTTAAACCCCGAGTGTAAATTTTGGTATGCACGTTGGGAATTACTTCGGATTCATGAAAATGTATTGTGTATTCTTTGGATGGAAAAGGAAAAGAATAGATTGCGTATCTGTACTCCTAAAGGAATGCGCGAGGATGTCATGTGGCATTTACATGATGCACCTACCTCTGGACATATGGGAATTCACAGAACACAACAAAGAGCTTTACTTTGTTCATATCATTGGCCGGGAATGAAACAAAGTGTGCGTGATTATGTTAAGTCCTGTGATGTATGTGAAGAAAGGAAAAATCCAGGAAGAAAAAGGCGGAATTATATGGAAACGTATATTGCTGGTGGAAGATTTGAAAGAGTCGCAGCAGATATAGCCGGCCCATTTCCTAAAACTGCAAATGACAATGTATATATTTTAGTTATATCGGACTACTTTACAAAATTTGCGGAGATTTTTCCTATACCGAACATGGAAGCAAAAACAATAGCTACTGTCTTTTTCCGGGGATGGATTAAAAGATACGGATGTCCATATGAATTTCATAGTGATCAAGGTGTACAATTTGAAAGTTTAGTGTTTCAACATTTGTGTTCAATGTTTGATATTGCGAAAACAAGGACAACTGCATTTCATCCTCGATCCGACGGAATGGTGGAAAGACTAAACAGGACAATCAAAGAGATGTTGTCTAAATATATAAATGTGAAACAAACTGACTGGGATGATTACATTGATTGTGTTGTGATGGCTTATAACTCTTCAGTACACGACACAACTGGGATTACACCTTACCGCATGATGTTTGGTTCGGAGATGACTGTACCCGTAGATTTACAAACAGAATCGCTAGAAATCGGAAAAGGAGAAAAGATAACAGAGACGAAATATGTGAAAAGTTTGTGTAAAAACTTAGAATTAGTACACAAATTAGCACGAGACAGAACTTTTGGAGCTGTCCGGAGGCAAAAGAAAAATTACGATAAAACTGCCGTACGAAAAACTTACAATGAAGGTGATATTGTGAGAAGATTTCAGTCAAAACAAATAGTGGGAACGAAGCTTAAATTAGCTCGGAACTGGACTGGACCTTGGATTATAACTAAAAAATTAAGCGATGTGTTATTCGAAATTAGACATTCAAGGAAATCTAATCCCGTTATTGTCCACGCAGACAACCTAAAATCGTTCCAAATACGGAAAACTGCAAGGCTTAAACTAAAACACCTCCTCAAAATCAAAGAAATACCCGAGAAAACTACAGAGATGCCCGAGCTGGATCCCTCCTCAACTTCTAAAAAGACCGCCGTATCCACGCGCATGGGAAAAGTCAGCGCGCCAAAGACAAACCGCGGCCTGTGTATTCCAGCTGCAGAGCCTCCTCCGACCGACCAGTCACGTGATACACAAAAACGGGGTACATCTACTAAAACAAGACGGGGAAGGGCCATTCGAAAACCAAAACGTTATGAGGATAGTATTGTGTGAAAAGTGTGGTTTATTATTTACTAGATTAGACAATTTCCGAAGACATTTTAAACAACTTCATGAAGATGCCGTGAAATCGTTCAGTTGTGGATTTTGTGGTGAAAGTTTTAACAGGATTGACAATTTGAAGAGACATGTGAATGCCAGGCATGAGAATATTTCTAAACAACTAATTAGCGAATTCGGTTTAAGTGCTTTTGATATGTAAACTTTTCATCATGGATTATAGTGATAGAATTGTCAAACACCCTGACTACAGTGACATATCGAGTGACGAAGAAGATTTTGTAATGCAAGAGGACGCAGGAAGTGACAGTAACACTATAGAATACTGTGAAAGTGATTTGATCGAGGTATCCAGTGACGAACTAGAAGATGATGACGAAATCGCTGACGAACAGGGAGAGGATAACAACACAGTGACTATAACACATACCATTGGATTAACAATGACCAAAACTATTAAGTACAATAACAGTGAAATATTGAGTGAAAACCGATCGCTGGATGTTTATTTTTCTGAGGGACTTGACCCGAAAGGAGTCGATGTAGCAAAAGTGACAGAGGAAGCCCTGCAGGAGATCCCCATATTCTTAGATGAACTGAGACGACAGAACACTAACAGCAATTAAAATTTGTGAAATGTTGACTGTAAATATTGTGCATAATATTGTGCACATTTTTCTTTATTTGTTATTGTTTACTTTAAATTATTGCTAATTTTATTTTGACGGGGTCAAAACTTGCGTGGGGGGAAGTGTAGCAGATTTAAAAATTAATCATATTTATGTCTATATATTAATTTGTATAAACTGTTTAATTATTTAAAGTTAACTGCAGTATTCTATTATTTGGCTAACATGTAATCAAGTAACCTATTTATATCTTTACTCCTCAGCAATGACCTAGATTTTGTATTTGTATTTCAAGTGAGGAGTTATTTTGTAAAGAGGAGTTAAATTATTGCGTCATGGGAGGAGTGAGTTTAATCAGTATATAAGGGGAAGAATTGTAGAAACACGGGAGTAGTTAGGAAAGTTTTGACCAAGTCACTCGTTTGTTTTGTTTATTTTCTATGTTTTGGATTTATCGCCATTAATAAATTGTGAACTTTACGCTGTGTTTTCATTTAAGAGAAAAGGAATATATAGTACAGTTTTTGTGGATGGAATATAAATTATTTAGGATTTACATGCTCGGAAAATAATAAACGCTACACGTCATAGTAAACTATATGACGTGAAGTTTAGAGATAACAATTTCTTATAAACGATATCTACGATTGATTTGAGGTCGTAAAAATTAATCAAAATGTGCAAATGCATAGTACAAACAGAATTTTGTCGTTTCTGGGTCTCTGTAGTTATCACAGGGGTTAAATACCAAACCCGTGACGTCATAACTGTTGATCATGCATAAGCAGAGTGAAAGTGAAACGTAACGAGAATTAATGTAAACAAACACAAGAAATCGGAGATTAAAAGCATTTAAAATGAATATCATGTGTGATTCATGTGGGAATAAACCTTATGAATAAGGTATGGTAATATACTTCAAGAATTTCTTCGTGAAATTAAAGCAGGGAGGGTGTTTGCTTGCCGATCAGCCTTTCCTCTGTCAATCGTAACAAATAAGATGCAAAAGTTCAACACTACGCCGCACACTTTGAAACTTAATTTTTGTTTCTTTCTAAAGTTCTTATTTTATTGTTTTTGGAAAGTGCTGCTAGAATCGTATGGTTTACGGGAATTAATGCATTTTTTTCGATGTATTGAACAAAATGTAAAAATTTTGGGAAGGTTTCGTCAGAAAGGGTTGAATAATTATTTCTGTGATAGGACAGTAGGATTCTAGCAGCACTTTTCATGGTACAGAGATGTTTTTACATAATTATTATTACAAATTGAAATTAATTATCCCCGGGGTAGTGTTAAACTTTTCACCTTTTCATTAAGGCATATTTTCTAATTATAGACGTCACGTGGTGACGTCGTGGTGAAGTGCTTCATGTAGTATAAGTCCCATTGAAGTCTATAGAATGCATAATTATAACAAAAGTTTTATGCTTGACTTATCCGATTTATTAGTGTTACATAATTATAAAAAAGTCTTAATTCGCCGAATTCTGGTCCATGTGCTGCCCTTTCCAAAAATAAGCATGGCGACCATTAAAAGACAAATCTTCTGTCTCGCGAGAGAGGTTTATTCAAGGTGGAAAGAGAATTGGTGCCTCCTTTTTATCATATCAAATATGTTTAAAATCTAAAGTAAACGATATTTAATAATTATATTATTGTTCAAATATTCAACTATTTTTTAAAGCCATATATGGCGTAACTGATCAAAAAAATATATTTTTGAAAAATACAAAATTAAGTAAAGAAACATAGTTGATACATTTAAATTAAAGCTTTTCATGCAATTCTGAACACGGAGAACACCTCGTTTCATCTAACAATACGATTTTATCTTCTCTGTAATGTGTTATTTAAATCTTTTGTATTTTCTTCCGAGTCGGAGAAAATTCCGAGAATCCAAATTAAATTGTGATATCGTTATAACGCAATTGATTTAGATTTTGTAATTTACTGAAAAGTTCTATCTTTATATAAAGTAATGATACAAATAATAAGTTCTTATAATTTTAGTCCAATAATTTTCACTGTACATACGCCATATATGGCTTTAAAGTGTAAATTGGAGGTCTTTAATTGATAGAAAATTGCTTAGTTAAAAACACATATCTTTTCAAACTTGCGTTCACTGGGCAACATGACAAGTATTTTTAACCATCTGCCTTCCTTCACCTAAAATGATCAAATCAATCATTGATTGAATTTATAGGAAGTCACTTATCTTATTAAACTGTGGAGAAATTATTATATGATACTGCAAAGGGATTTCTAAGATATACAATAAATTGTACAGTCGTTTGTTGATCGAGTTCGACTGAGACAACCATGATAATGATTTTTCGTCAAAAGTGACCTTCAAAGTGACGTCATTTTCACATTGTGACGTCACAATGATAAAGAAAAACTTTATTCAGCGTATGCTATTTATAGAACTTGTGTATGGCTATGTGTGTACCAAATTTTTTCTAATCCGAATGGTGGTTTTGTAGATATAGAGATAGTTCGCCAACTTTTTGATCCCCCCTCGTATACTCCTTGTGACCTGACCTTTCTTTGGATGCCAAAAGTTTTCACAAACAGCTCTTCCCCCAACAAATGTTATATTCTTGATCTGCCTCTAACCAAATTTCTTGATCCACCAATACCACTAGACTGGGAAATTTCTTCTCTTGTTATACATGTACATGAATATATATCAATATGTTATCACACAGAAGATAAAGCTCCGGACAATATAATGATTATATATTCAGATAGCGTCAGAAATTAGGCCACCTGAATAATATTTTTAACCTGTTACCGGTAAATGTTAGAAACGGTGGATGCACAGTGTACATATAATTTATAGTCAATTGTAAACAGAGCCTGAAGTCAGTAATGACAATGACTGACCGTCTTAAGACAGTGTTCGGTCATCTTCAGTCAGAAACACACGTTCACGTATCCTTTTAATAACCGTGATTGATCAATGATCGCTGGAATAGGGTAACTTATGACAAAGCAAGTAACTTTAACTTTTTGCATTTTAAAACTTTGCCGCATTCCTCTGCAGAATTTTGACAGGTGTATGCATTTTAAACAAAAAACTATAATTCATTCGTTGTAATTATTTAATGGGCCTTAAAGATTGCCTGATCAAGGCAAGATTTTTTTTTTTGAAAATTAAAAATATGGTATCTTAATTAAGTATAATCATTCATAGTTATGTCATATTTCCATATAACATATTTCAATAAAGAAGTCATGCACGAATAACTGGCTTTGTTAGATAATTATATATTTTGACTTGAAAAGTTTACCATCAGTTCTTAAAATTGTATAAATTATATAAGGATGTCCTGATTTCCATTTCGTTTTATCTGACATTTTTCGTTATTTCTGTCCAGGAACTTTTTAGGCAAGCAAAATATTTTCTTTAACACAGTATTTTAGACACAGAGATCATCTGCCTCCAGTTTGGTTCATACGGGTTCTCCCAGGTTTCGCTACACCAGGCCAGGAGGTTTTCTTACGGAGTCTCAAAGACAGTTCTATGAAGACAATGGTTTTCTGGTCATCAAACGTCTTGTGCCCCATCAAAAGCTTGATATGTACAGGTAAAACTCCATCACTTTTTAGATCAGTTCAGTGGGATCTATGGCAAAAACTTTGGGGATACCCACATTTTTTTTTTTTTTTTTTGGTTTTCCCATGTCAAAATTAGTCAAATCAGTGTAGAAGGACATTTAACAGGCAATATAGCTTTTTTAAAGTAAGGAAAATGTATCTAAAGTAGGAAAATTGCACCAGAGAAAATTCTATTCTTGAAAGCCAGTTTATATATGATGGAGACTGAATTATTTTAACTAAAGCGCTTTTCTTTATGGAACGAGTTAAGGCGTGTCAGATTGCATAAGACCAAGATTATTCTTTCATTCCCAGAGATCGCTTTGAGAAGATCTGCCGTAAGGAGGTGACAGTACCAGGATTAAGCATTATGAGGGACGTCGCCATTTCGAACTCTGAATTCGTAGCTGGAGAGAAAGCCATCACAAAAATACAAGACTTCCATAATGACAGAGTTCTATTTGACTATTGTGCTATTCCAGAGGTCTGGTTACTGCAACTGGTTTTATTTTCTCTTTGTTAGTAAATTTTAAAAAGTCTTTAACTAAAAGTCAAAAACTTCATATTGTACAGCAACAAGAAGGCAATTAGTAGCTTTAGTAATTGAGTGAATTAGCATATGCCTTTGTCAAAACGTAAATGATGATCCCTATATCTTCATAAGTTTTGCTAGAGTTAAAAAGAATTGAAAAAGAAGGATAACCCTTTTGAGTTTCAATTTTATGTTGTTTCCGACATAACTTACAAATGCAATATACTGTAAATAGTAATCTTATGATAAATAAATGAGGTCTTTTTCCGGGATTTAACAAACTTTCCAATTTCCAGGTAGTGGATTATGTGAAGGCAATCATAGGGGATGAAGTCAATGCAATCCACACGATGCTTATTAACAAACCACCAGATCCAGGTAATTATTGATGGAGTTACATAATATGCAATCAATTCAAATTACTTTTGAAAATCGTCTTAAAATACTAGACTAAACATGGTAGTGTATTAGAATTTACTTCCACATATAGTTGAATGCATTATGTGTTATTCTAAGAGGGAAAAACATCAATACACAAAAAGCCATTATTTCTGCAGATAAAATTTAAAAAGTTCAATTGCTCAAATCAGGTAACAGTCTCATTATCTAAATTGTATATTAGAAGAACTTGGATTTTATTGTACAAGTGGTAATCCTACTTATAATCATTTCCTTTCAAGGAAGGAAATTTTAAAAGTCATATGTCAGTTTTTAATATTTTTAAGATCCAAAAGAACCAAAGTGAATTTGAAATACCATTATATCTATATTGGATTCCGAAACTGCATAAATTCTTACAATTTAACAAAGATACATAGAGGGTTCCAGTTCAACCAAGCCTCTTCCGTTACTCCTCACTAACATATGAACATTAGTGAAGGACAAACTTCAAGAATACTGTGCAACAATATATTGGAGAATTGGTGTAAATAAGATGTTGATACTTACAAATTCCAAAGAACTTTTGGAAAATTTGAAATCACAAAATTTTACCAAAATCCAACATCTTAAAAACTTACTATTTTTCAACTTTGTACATATCCATTCCTCAGGCTAAGTTAAAGTCCAGTCTTTTTGATATCATTGACAGCTGCTTTTTCAATAAAAATGGAACTTGTTAATTAACACACGTTGTCATTGGTCATTTGCAAAATATTCTGATTGTACACACAAGTACTCTGAAGTTGACATTAAAAAGTGCCTGAGTTTCTGTTTGACAATATCCATGGGGTTTTTGGAGACATGGTCTTCCAACAATCTATTAATATTCCCATGGGTAGCAATTGCGCCACGTTATTAGCAGACATATTTTTTATTTATATAAAGCAGAATTTGTCCAAAATCCTATAGGTGAAAAGAAGAAAACACTTGCTATATATGGCCTTCAACTCGACATTTAGATGTATCTATGATGTACTGTCAATTGACAATGGTTATTTCCATTCTTATGTCGATACGATATATCCCGGTTATCTTGAGATAAATATACCACAAAGTATGACACATCTGGCTATTTTATTTAAAAAACAAAAACGTCAATGGTAATTTAACAACCAAGCTCAATGATAAACATTATGATCTGACTAACTTAAATTTTTCAATCGTCAACTTCCCTTACGTATGCGGAAATATACCTTCATCACCTGTATACGGAATTTATATATCTCAGTTGATTCGATAAGCAAGAGCATGCTGTACGAATGTACAATTTCTAAAACGAGGTATATTATTGAAAAAACAATTTGATGGAACAAGTATTTCAGCATTCTCGTTTAAAGTCATCATTTCCTAAGTTTTATGAAGTTTTATGGTCTATACAATGACCTTGTCAACAAATACAATTTTTCATTGAGTCAAATGCTGACTGACGTTTTTCATACTAATTGTTAGTCCATTATTTATACACTGAATTGACAACATATTTTTCTGTTATTTCCCGATCATGTCAAGGATCAAATGGCGGATGTGACCGGATGTTCACTCCTCCATGGCATCTGATCCCACCTCTGATGTTTTGGAGGTCCGTGTTTGCTCTGCTCCTATTTTGCATTAATTGTTTTATGGACTTTATTCTTGAGTATGGTTAGTTATCTCCATATGTTTCATTATATTGAAGGCAAGAAAACGTCCCGTCATCCCTTGCATCAGGATCTCCACTACTTTCCCTTTAGACCAGCAGACAAAATATGTTGTTCATGGACCGCCATGGAAGTCGTGAACCGTGAAAATGGCTGTCTCGTAGTTCTTCCGGGGTCACATAAAGGCGGGAAACTTCTTCAACATGAGTATCCTCAATGGGAGGTATGCTCAACAGATTATAAACCACGATCAATTTTTTAAGAAAAAAGAATGACACAAATTGTTAGCATAAACTGCAAAGCAGTATACATGTACTCCTTTTTCAAGGGAGGTGTGCATATTTTGTATCATGGCGTGCGAGACTTCGACCCCACCCATCCTCGTTCCCATCTCCTTATGGACCCCGGGGACACGGTCTTCTTTCATCCACTGCTGATCCACGGATCTGGAATGAACAGAACAAAAGGATTCAGAAAAGTAAGTGTAGTGTACTACATGATAATTAAATATTACGTAATGAATCAATAATTAAAAATCAACAATACCTGTTCCCGTGAATATAAGTTGTTGAAAAATTAAAAAAAAAAAAGATTATTCGATGAAAAAGCACTGTACTGTTACTTTTATAAAATAATCTTAACACTGTTTTAAATAATTAAAAAAAATTCAAATTTTTTAAATATATACCAGTCCATATCTTGCCACTATGCGTCCTCTGATTGCGAATACATCAATGTTCGCGGATCAGAGCAAGAGAAGATGGCAGATGAAATTGTTAACATGGTGCTGAAGAAACACAAAATAATCGACCGATCCAAAATTACCTTTGAGGTACAACTGCTATATAAAATGTGGTCAATCAAATCTTAATATACTTAGTCTAGTATAACAAATAATTTCAAGAACATCTCACAAAAACGTTTAGATACACGATGTTTGCAAAGAAAAGTAAATTAATAGATTTCTGATTTTTCTTTCCATGTTTTATGGTATGCTATTATGTATTAATTATTTTATTTATTTAAGAAATAAGGTATCATTTTTTGAGTTTTATTGAGATGTAAAACGGGTTGGTCACGTGATCAAATCCCATAAAGCCCGAAGAGCTTTATGGAAGATTTGATCATGTGTCAACCCGTTTTACATCTCAATAAAACTCAAAAAATGATACCTTATTACTTATATTTACATTTGGGACTTATTCATACTTTAAATTTGCCTGATTGTTACTTTTAACGTGAGAAATGCGTTATTTTTCAAACCCAACGGCATGTATGTAATCCACTAAACGCGCGTCGACCCTTTATGACGTCACACAGAGATTACGTCGAACCTTTATCCAAACGCACATCTATGACCTCTTGACCCCGTACCTGTATTTACACAGTTATAAAAACGCTTGCTTTCAGTAGTGTTATTTAAAGGAAAACATTTGCAAATGTAAATATATGAATTTAAAAGTCGGAAGCATCTTTTTTTAGACTTTCTATGGAAATATACCAAAAGTCTTATAAAATAAGAAAATGTAATGGATATAATGTAAGTATTTCTATGATGATTTCTTTCACTTCCAGGACATCTGGCGATACAAGTTGAAGCCCGTAAGGGGTACTAAGGACTAATTTTCTCAGCAGGAAAAGTTATCAAAAATATTGCTGTAACTGAGAATAGATTTCTGACAATCTTTCTGAATATTATTTTATACGCCAAGTGACGATATCTATATTACTCAAATAAATGTGAAAGAAATTATATATTAGACAGTTACGTTGATTATGTATGTTTCGATTACATGTGCAATGTATATTATTTTTCATTTTAGATGTAACGTTATTGTGTGAAGTTAATAAACTACACATGGAATGTAAATGATTTAAATTTGAAATTTGTTATATTATCATAAGTTATATTAAATGTTGAACATTTTTGTAAGCTCTAAAGAAACTGAATAAATATTAAAATCAAGTAAAAAATCAAGGTATATACGTAGTAGTACATTATGCAAAGCTGACAGAGTTTCTCGCTACTATCACAGTTTTTCTCGCTAGCTAGAGCGACATTATCAATGATACTTTTCTACTTATTCCTTAAGATTTATAATTTTTTTTCTTATTTTTTTTTTGCACAAATCTCTGCTCTTAATGATGTTTACAACTCAGTTGACTAAATTGGATGAGAAGGTAAAGTATAAAAGCACAAAATGTATGAAAGGCATCTGAACTGATGGTTTCTTATTTTTGAGAAACATTCTTCATATTATAGTTTTATTGGTGTGACCTGTCAAAAGGGGAAACTTACTCCTTCACGATCCCACCTCTGAATTTTTAGAAGGTCGTCTTTGCTCTGCTGCCATTTGTTTTGTCGTTTATGGTTTATGTGCTAACATTCGCTGTTGAAAATTTATTCTGATTGTTCACAAGATGCGCGCGCATACATAATTGATCTTCCATCAACCTACAGAAATTTCAATGTATATTTTTATATAAATAGACCTGTTTTTTCTGTTTGAAAAAAAATATTCTTTTCCTGTGATCTTTCGTCGATAACCAAAAAAACAACATCCCATTTTCATTCAAATATTAGTTTAATATTATCCATATGCTAAACTATTATATTTGAGAAATACGTTTCGTTTAAAAAGTGAAGATGACGAACAGAAATAGATCTAAAAATTCTATTATAAACAATACAAATATGTGAAGAGGGCATAAAACAAGGATCTCTGGCAATTCCAGAGGTGGGATCAGGTGAATAGAAGGAGTAAGCATCCCATGTAGATCGGTCACGCTTGCTGTAAGCCTTATGTATTGATCAGGTACACAGCATTTTTTGTATTCGAGTTCAATATAAAAAACAAAGGTCTAACAATATATATGAAACAAGTTAACCAATTTACGACTCAATGAAAGTGCATATTTGCTTAATACAAGTTAATTATCACGACAATAGAATTCAAGAAATGCTAACTTCAGTTCAAACAATGTTGGTGAAATCCCTGTAACATTAACTAATTAGTGAGTAGGATACCTCGCTTTAGAAATTAGTAGCGAATAAGTTGGGAGACATAGACACCATTAAGCAGGTGTTTTCCCAATAACTAACAAATTATATAACTTCAAAATTTCAGAACTTTTCCCTTTTCTTTTTTTAAGCCATGATCACATTCAAGCTGCGTTTGTGTCTTCCTGCTGATTATATACACATAAGTGATATCTCTTTTTTTCGAAAGTTGATTAGATGATATGAAAAAGGGCACTTGGACAATTTTACGTAGGTTTGAGTTATCTTGGGTATGATAGCTCCAGTGGTCTATATTTAGAGTACATGTAAATAGTCACATGAGAGGTTAAATACGAGGATTAAACACCGAGAGGTTTGTTTATAAATTTATTCACTTATACAGCTCTCTCTCTCTCTCTCTCTCTCTCTCTCTCTCTCTCTTTTTTTAAGTTTTCAATTTAAGTCTTAGAGACAGGTAAAATAACGTTTCATCTCAATCACTACATGTAGATATACTGTTATTGATATATATTTTAAAAATCATCCAGAATAACACATATTTCTATTTCTTTTAGAGAGGTTGTTTTAACATGAATCATTTGAAATACTTGTGCTGTAGCTATTATTTCGCAATTTCGTAAAGAAATCACGAATCACGTACCTGAAATACCATTATGGGGACGGGATAAGGAAATGATTAAATGTACTGTTCTATTAAAAAAAACATGTATGCTGATAACATTCTTATTAATGTTTTTCTTCTTGCAGGATAGATAATTATAAAATGAGTAGAAAACTCGATGGTATTACATTCTGTGTGTTTTATGTGTTTCTACAGTTGGGTGTACAAGTCAATGGTTACCAAAATTGTATGTATCAACAATCAACTCAATATTAATTTTGTTTCTTTTCATTTAGAATTTCAAATATTGAAAAAAAATCTCTAGTCAATAAGTTGTTCATGTTGTATGTATAAAAATGTATATTTAACGTTGATCATGTTGATGAAAAATATGGAGATAACGAACAGTATTCAAGATCAAAAGTCCATAAAACAATACAAAATAATAGCAGAGCAAAGACGGACCTCCGAAACATCAGACGTGGGATCAAGTGCCATGGAGGAGTGAACATCTCCTGCGGACTGGTCACACCCGCCATGTGCTCCTTGTCATGATCGGGAAATAACTGAAAAATCCGTCGTCAATTCAGTGTATAAATAATGGACTAACAATTAGTGTGAAAAACGTCAGTCAGCATTTGACTCAATGAAAAATTGTATTTGCTGACAAAGTCATAGTATCGACCATAGTACTATGAAATGATGACCTTAAACGAGACTGTTGATATTCTTGTTTCATCAACTTGTTTGTCAATAATTTACCTTGTTTTAGAAATTGCATTTTTATAGTTTATTATTTGGCTGGTGATGTAGCATTTTACAACTTATAAAAAGGTAAAATATTTGAATTCCTCCTAAAAACAAAGAAAAATTATCTGAAACGCAAAACAAATCCACCATGCAGCTAGCACATATATTGTTAAGAGTTTATAAGCGAGCGTTCGCGAAGCGAGCTCAATAGACTAACGTGTATGAGTAGAGGAAATTCGGATTGAAATCTGTACATACGTCAGCCAAATTTCTCTGTGCAACATTCCCAGAATTCCTGCACTACCCAATGTCCTTTGCGCAAATATTGCCGAATAAATAAATAAATAATAACGTAAAGCATATATCAGACTTTCAGTTTGTAGAAATCTTTCAAAGAAACAAGAAATAACTCTGCAATGTTTTTCGACAAAAATTGCACTAGTTCTATAGTTTCACAGACGCTCGGCTGTCTACGTCGTATGACGTCACAGCTAGTATATACGTTCGAAGTGGCTGATCTCAAGTGTTTTTGAAGGTACAACTGCGCTCGCCCCAACGGTCACACCGTAAAACATATTAAATACCTGTACTTATATATTAAATAACTGAATTTCTTTCTTCCTAGACACATTTGGAGATGATTGCGGAAACAACACAAGGGAGGTGACTCCTGATGAACCGATGTCTGTATTTTACAGAGGGAGCAGTGACATAGTCTGTAATGGGATGACCTTTGAATGTGAAGAACCATGTAAAGTGTGCATTTCTGTAAAACACTTTCATGATCCTGAATGCGCTATTAGACTTCAGTTTCAAAAGTCTTGGTTAGGGGCAACCAAACATGTAAGTTTAAATAACATCAAAGCTGCAAAAATCATAACTATTTTATCGCGTTTTCCTACACACCACTCTACACTGTATAAAAACCTTTCAAATTTTGACGCTCAAACGTTACAAAAATTATCATTTACATGTATTTCATGATCAAGAGAGAGGGAACTTATCTTATTAATGGATAAATTATCAATATGACGGAATTTCAGACTATTACTTGCAAAGAGAAAAAGGAAGAGAAATTCTGCCTGTCATCTTCAATCTTCATCTATTTAAATACTTTGAACGGCAGATCGACAGACAATGCCACGTTTGACCTTCTGTTAACCTCAGAAAAAGACGAAACAAGTATGTTTATATAAGCAATCATACCAAAATGAAGTAATTGTAGGTATTAAACTATGTAATCTCATGTCAAAAAGTTAAACTTTTCACTCAATGTTATCTGTTTCATTTTCAACTTTTCAACTTTTCTATTATCGATGTTAATATCATGTTGAAACAAGAATATATTTTGTGCTGCAAATTTCTTTACTAGATCAAATTTCTTTACTAGATAGATATATTGAGGCAAATATTAAAAAAAATAAGAAATATTAATCTCAATGAAAACATAGTCATATTTTTTCCCTGTAGTGATAATTTTTCTGCCTTCGTGAGAGAATAAAAGAATAATATTGTGTCCTAACTAGAAATAGGCTGCAAAACAGTCAGATAATTTTCAGACTATAAGAACAAACAGTAAATCAGAGTATATTCCTGATGCTTTTCACTAAATTGCATTAATGATGAAATCTTTTGTTGTTTCCAGATTGGGCAGTGATTGGTGCCGTGATAGGAGGCGTGGTCGGAGGGTTTATTTTGGTTACAGTTATTATTGGCATCATTGTCCGAAAGGCATGTAAATTACGAACATCAGAAGGCCATATTTACAGTAAAGGTACAGGTATCGACTTTTTTATTCCAGAAATTTTTCATTGCTGTTTTTTATTTTTGGCTTTCACAAAGTTATAGTAAACATAAGGTCAGACGAGCTGATGATAATGTTTAAAGTTGGCTTTTAACAGTTACATTCTTTTTAGTAAAAAGTTAAAAATAAATGTTGAAAACGCAACAAAGGAGAAATCGCGGTCGTCATTCGTTTTAATAAATAACTTACTTCAAAGATGAACATCAGAAATTTTTTCTTGAAAAACTTTTGCGAAAAGGGGTTTTCATGAAAGTATATATTTGATTGATGGACTTAATCCGATTTTCGTAAAACCGATCGAATAGCTACATCGAACAAATAGTTAATATTACCATTACTTTTTTATAGTCCCAATTAACAAGAAGTCTTTTCCTTGGTATTCCAACAATGGAAACTCTCAACTTCCAACCGGAGGTTACGAGAATTAATCTCCTTTTAGAAGCTATCAAACACACCCTGTATAAAGAAGGTTAATCCCATGCAGAAATTGGAGATTCAATGAAGACGTGAAATGAGTATACGATTAATATATTTGAGTTTCAGAGAAGATTTAATATTTGTTCGTGCTAGTAAATATATTATTATTCAAATGAGACCAACTTAAGAAATCAATGTGTTAATTGTTTTTCACATATTTGAAGTTCATCTTTGCACACATGTGAATTGTCTTGAATTACTACGAACACTACCGATTTCCATCGACATTTTCTGATTCATATAGCTCAGAGGATGTGCTATTATTCCTATACGATTGAAAATTATCAGTTTATTTTTGCAAAACTATATACACAAGAAGAAAAGTACATTTTGACAAGATTTTTAAATAAATCCAATACAAAAGAGGATTATAAGATCCAACAACATACTATATGTATAAGATAAGCATTGTTTCCAGCGATTTTTGTTTGAATCTTTATTGTAATCTTGTGACATATAACTCATCACATAATGCTTGTAAATAATTATTATGATAAATAAACTGAACCAAGTTTATGGTAGACTAAATAAGAGGAAAGTTTTGTTTATATTATGATTGATTGTACTTGTATTATCATTAAAATGATAGAATCTTGAAAATATTCATTCTAATATTCATGCTGCTTAATGTTTAAGGCTTTATGAAATAAAGTTGATCTTATTTTTTCTAGAGAGTTACCTACCTATTGTCTAGAGCGTGACATTTTTTCTAATATTTTCATCCTTCGTGTAACGAATAATAATAAAAAAAAATGTCATGTTTTTTTATTGTTATTCTACCATTTTTAATAAAATGTTTACATGTACCGTGTTTTAATTTCTTTTGTTAAGATTTTACTAGTAATAAGTAAATACGAGCGTAACACAAGTAAATGTACGTAAGTAAGCACTTTAAAAATATATGCAATGCAAGTCTAAAGAAGTCTAGACTTATTTATAGAAAAGAAATATTATACATTTAAAATTTATGTGATTGATAGAATAAAGGGAAAATACCAATTACTCGTTTTATATAATGACTGAATTCTCGTATGCAATTTCAAATTGTGAATTTCGTATAAAAATAATCATATTTCAAATATACAATTTTATTTTTTAACCAATAAAATCTTGAGGATTTTTCTTTCTGAGTGCAGTTAATAAATTTAGCAATAAGAGAGGGCTTTAAATATATTTATTGATTAATGCAATTAGGATTGGGAAACAGACAAAGTCTTAAAAGTATGCACATTCTCTCTTTGAAAAATTAGGCTGGAGACAATAAATGACAAATTACAGAAATACAGACAGACTGACGGACGTGCGGACGGACAGACCAAAATTAATATATATCCAACTTTCAATAAAAGCGGGGGACAAAATATTAACTAACATTGAAATATGTATAGCTACAATAGAAATTAATAAGGTGTCGGAGAGAAATTACTTTATATTTAATAAAACAATTTTGATATCCTATAAAGATGCTACTTTGCCTTTAAATGTCCACCGTGGGACCATTCGGTCGATTAAATGTGAAAAAAGTATTTATGTCTGACCATATTCAATGAAAACTATTGACCAAGCATAAACCTTTAAATCAGTGGTCAATATAAAAGTGCTAGGTCAGTCTACCAAAACATGGTCAAATTGTGATATAGGACACAAAAATATATTGGTATACTTAAAACTGAATTAAAATCTTAAGAAATCCGTAATTCAGGTCTATCATGTCGGACATTTAATACGTATTCTTTGTACATAAAAGCATTACTCCCAAGGAAAACAAACTTTGCGAAGATACTAGGATTGTGCTTTATTTACAGGTTTGTCGATTATAATATTATATATATATATATATATATATATATATATATATATATATATATATATATATATATATATATATGTATTTCATTACAGTATTGAAAACCAGAGAAAAAAATCTGGTATTGCACAATTACATTGAGATTTTTTTACTATATACTCATTCAAAAGAATGTCCTAGTTATCGACATGAGACAGTTTGGTGTGGGGTTCAATATGAAATGTATAATATTTATAATGCATGCTTTTAAAGATTCTTTAATAGGATGTTCAACAAAAAATATATATACAAAAACAAACAAACAAACAAATCAGATATATACGCATAAATTAAGTGTTACCTTCAAAGCATTCAAGAGGAGTAAAATTTTACTTCATTAAAAGCAAGATATCAAAGAATCTTAAAGAATAATTTTAAAACTTAATTTCTTTATTAATTGGAACTTCAAATTCGTTTTATAGGGTTAATTATTGTTAATAATATTTTTGAAGTACAGATTTAAATTTGTTGTATAATAATAATAATAGCATAAAGTTTGTTAAAAAAAATTAAGATTTTTGAATCAAATGATTTCTTGCAACATATCATGACTTATGTGAAATATGAAGACAAACAGTTTCAAGATTAAAAGACCAATTAAACAATTCATATTGGGAGCCGAGCAAAAACACAGACTATTATAAAACATAAGAGGTGACATCAGCCCAAAGGATCATGAAAAAGACTTATACTTCAGTCAACCTTTCTATCACAGACTTTTATAAAACATATGAGGTGACTTCAGCCCAAAGGATCATGAAAAAGACTTATACTTCAGTCAAACATTCTATCACAGACTATTATAAAACATATGAGGTGACTTCAGCCCAAAGGATCATGAAAAAGACTTATACTTCAGTCAAACTTTCTATCACAGACTTTTATAAAACATATGAGGTGACATCAGCCCAAAGAATCATGAAAAAGACTTATACTTCAGTCAAACTTTCTATCACAGACTTTTATAAAACATATGAGGTGACATCAGCCCAAAGGATCATGAAAAAGACATACTTCAGTCAAACTTTCTATCACAGACTTTTATAAAACATATGAGGTGACATCAGCCCAAAGGATCATGAAAAAGACATACTTCAGTCAAACTTTCTATCACAGACTTTTATAAAACATATGAGGTGACTTCAGCCCAAAGGATCATGAAAAAGACATACTTCAGTCAACCTTTCTATCACAGACTTTTATAAAACATATGAGGTGACTTCAGCCCAAAGGATCATGAAAATGACTTATTCTTCAGTCAAACTTTCTATCACAGACTTTTATAAAACATATGAGGTGACTTCAGCCCAAGGGATCATGAAAAAGACTTATACTTCAGTCAAACTTTCTATCACAGACTTTTATAAAACATATGAGGTGACATCAGCCCATTGAATCATGAAAAAGACTTATACTTCAGTCCAACATTCTTTCAAAGACTTTTATAAAACATATGAGGTGACTTCAGCCCAAGGGATCATGAAAAAGACATACTTCAGTCAAACTTTCTATCACAGAATTTTATAATACATATGAGGTGACATCAGCCCAAAGGATCATGAAAAAAGACTTAAACTTCAGTCAAACTTTCTATCACAGACTTTTATAAAACATATTAGGTGACATCAGCCCAAAGAATCATGAAAGAGACTTGGACTTCAGTCAAACTTTCTATCGCCTGTAAAATATTTATTAATTCTCCAATAAATCTAAAAAACTTCAGACCATTTATCTTGGTCTGCTTACTTTTTACAACATTTTAGTAAAACATGACGATTTTGACTTCAGCTTAAGATGTTTCATGATACCGGGGCCAGAAGTCATGAAAGAGTAAGCTTCCCCCATCTGACAATTAACATTCTACTTAATGATGTTGTATTTGGTGCTGAAGTCATTGTGTCGACCATAGACTATGTAAAATGTAGATTTAAAACAAAAATGTAGATATCACTGTTTATACTTGTACGCAAATAATGATTTTCTTGTAAAATATCCAAATATGGCACAGATGTATCAGTATCACAAATATCTTATTTGAGATCACAGAAATACATCAATCCACAATATTCACACCAATGGAAGATTTCACATTTTTACACGTCTACATAGAACTTTTTCAAAATTTTTAAATGCTCAACTCTTTCGTTCCTGAGAAATTAACAGTTACATTTAAGCCTTCATTTTTTTAACACGATCAAGAGGACAAACAACAATATGGATACTCGGGTTGAAATACATTTCAGTGAAATACATTTTAATTAAAATTGATGCAAATTTAAACAGGTAAGGATTTCTGACATATTCATCAAGATGTTGACGATTAAACTAATGATACTTTCGAAAGATAAAAGGCGTTGGGTATTTGTTTAATGTGTGCTAATATAAAACAATGAACATTAAGAAAAAATCAAGTAACAGTTACATTTTATTTCAGGCGAACCGTAATCTTAAAACATGAAGGTAGAAGATATTGGAATAGTCATATCAATAGTCTGTGTTTCTCTGAAGATTTGTATGGGAGTTGAGATTTACCGAAATTGTAAGTATTAAAATGTATAACAAAGGCTAATACCGGTAACTTAAAATAATGCACGCCATTTTGTATGAAAAATCCTCATTCATAGAATCAATCTGGAATGCATTACCTGTTTTAAAGATACAAGTAATGTATTTTTTTTAATAAGATGTTTTCAAAATTATTAATATCTACATTATTCATACCAAAAGTCATAAAATACTAATGCTTCAAATATATTTTCGTAATTTTTTTAAAGATACTTTTGGAGAAGATTGTGGGGTCAACACAGATGAAGTTCAGCAATATAAACCCATGGTAGTCTTCTATCGAGGGAAAGATGTTATTGGTTCTTCTTGTAAGGAGATGATCTTTAAATGCGATGAACCGTGTAACGTGTGCATGAATGTAAAGGATTTCTCAGATCCAGACTGTGCCATTAAACTCGAGTTTAAGGAGTCCTCGACTGCCGTTACGGAGCGCGTAAGAAATATACTGTAATTATGTAATTTACCAAGGTATATACATGCATTAATATGATGATACTAGATGAATTTTTGTGACGTTTTAAAACATTGTTGAAAAACAGATCTTTTTAATATAATTGTAGGTTTACAATATTTGAAAAATTGATTCAAAAATTCTTTTCTTTCCTTTCTTACTTACTAGTATAAAGAGTTTCTAAAGAAATAGCATTTATTCTAGCTAAAATTTAATTTTCAATTTAAATTTGATTTTTAATTATAATGAAACCCTTGACAATATTTACTGCATTAAGATATTCTTGAATTTCAGACTATCACGTGTACCAAAAACGAGAAGGACGAGTTCTGTAGATCCTCCTCTTTATCTGTCATCTTAACCATTACAAGCAGCATATCTTCATCCAATGCTAAATTTGATCTGATCATATCAAAGGAGGAACTTAACGAACGCGAACGCGAAATCGATACAAGTTAGTACATGTACAAAAACAGTTATACGAATGTTCGAAATAGGAAGCAAATCAGATTTATTCATGAAGAATGAATGATTAATGATTCTAGAATCTGAAGTTTCCTGATGTGTATACTAGTACTTTCTTTATCTCTCGTATGTGTGTGTTATGTAAGTCAGAGGGAAACATTAATTTACTTTAAAATGATTTTGTTAGGTCTCTTGCACGCCTAGTTAATTTGACAAAAATTTCACATCTAGAGCAGAAGCCTTTTCCAAAGATAGTGGTGTACACATTAGAGTGTATTTTTCTTTCCTATATATATGACAACACTTTTGAGTCACTGCTTTTATCGTAGATGAAGAACATGATATTTAATTTCAATTTTGTCTTTTAAAAGGCGAAAAATCTAAATAAAAATGAACAATCAAATGATCTATAAAAACCGTCTCTATTCACAATAAACATGTACCGATGTTTTTTTCATCATTAAACTAAATAATCACATGATTGAGATTTCTCACTTAATTAAAGTGCTTTAAACGCCTTATTGAAATATACCCTAAGTGTGTTAAAGCCGCTTAATCTGAAACAGGCACATTTTATTTTATACAATAAAAGTACCGTCTTACTATGGATATAAAAATTTATAAGATTGATTTTTTTTTTATAACAGTTACAAGGAAAACATAGATCAAAAACCTTATTGACATGCTTGTGATTTCTCAAAAAAATAAATTTATCTATATTTAAGTGCTTAAATCGCCTTTTTTTTTTCATTAGTAGAAAGCTGAAATATATCTTTTGAAAATTAAGTGTGTTTTTTATATTAATATGTATATTTAAAGAATAAAATCAAAAAATTTTTTTAGATAGCTTATCATTGTACTAAAGGGAAGTTATAACACTATATTATATCAAATACCTTTGCCTGGAATGATTTCACGCGATATCAACATAGTTATTTTTTGTGTGACATAAAAAAATGCTTTTGATATCTTGCAAAAGACTTTTGATCCTTTAATTTTTAAATTTTTTAAAATTCCATTTAAATACCAAAATTTAGAAATCATTGTAGAAGGAAAGTTATAACACTTATATATTAAATTTCTTTACTAAAAAATTGTACCCTAAATTTTAAATTCCTGTATTAATGTCTGATATATATATAACAATTGTATTAGCTAGCAATTAATATTTATTTCTACAAAGTCAAGCATAAATATAATGAAATATTTTAAGAACGAGAATTAATATAAATTTTAAACACTTTCTCTTGGAGAACACTACATATATTCTTTTTAAACAGAATGGAGAATACTAATTATCGTGTCGGTAGCGGCTGGAGTCGGTATTCCTGTGCTCTGTGTCATTGGCTGTGTTGTCTTTAAATTCTGTGTTATCCATGCAAATCGAAATTCACGTGGTACTATGTATAATCCAGGAAATTCAGGTTGTGTTTTTTTGTTTGTTTAGTGACTTTTCCTTTTTTAATACTGATAGTTCAAATTGATCCACTTCTCACTTGCAAATGATATGTTACACTGTGGGATGATATTTAGTTTGCAAGTTTCAACTTATACAGTTCATAAAGAAAATACAAAACTAAGAAAGGTAGTATAACAGTATTTTATGTTTTTGTCATTTTAGGTGGCATGGCATATCAAAACAACACATCATTTCCCAACAGTGGATATTCCCAATATCCTCAAGAAAATGACCACACTAAACAAAGAGACGGGGCAACATCCAGATTCTGATACGTTGATATATATTAGTTGAAGAAAATTTGGACGACAATAATTAATCTCTGAAGCTAGACATATTTTGATATTTTTTTTTTACCAAAGATGTTATTGCCATCAACATCACTTGCGAATTGATCAAGAATGTATTGCATTACCATTTTGTATTATCAAAATATATCGCGAAAATGTATCAACAGCAATTACCAAATGTAGAACTTTTTTATTTAGTTAAATTTATATATCAGTTCAAACATACATATGTATTAAACTTTTTTAAATAAAATATTTTTAAATTATATATTATTAGCAAGAAGGGGATGCCAACTCATACTTGATATATTTTGAAAACGAAAATCAAAGAATGGTAAACACGTACATGTATATGAAGAATGGAGGCGTACAAGGCGAGGACAATACTCCGCTCTGAGAAGATATTTCTCAATTCTAAAAGTTATATTTTTTTCAAAATTATATGGTTTATATCATCTTTTACACATTTAATTCTGTACTTTATTGTTTTAATTTTTATTAATAATTTATTTTTCAATGTTTTTAAGATATGTGAAAACATAACTCTCTACATAGTTTGGTCGTTTAAATTGTTATATGTATTATCGTTCAGAGTGTGATTTAAACGAACGGGTTTGAAAACATTTTTTTTCAGAAGTTTTCTTTTCATTATACAAATTCCATTTTTTGGACAAATGAAATAGATTTCACATTTACGTTTCCATTATTGAAGCATTAACGAAGAATGGAGACTTGACCCATTCATGTTCAAAATTCAAATTTATAGGTGTAGTAAACCCATTTTTCACTAAATATGCTTAACTGTCAACTTTGAAATAAAGATTATCAAATGATAAGTGGTTCAGTAATATAAAATAATAAAATGTTTTGAAGATGGCATTACTGAGAACATGATTTTAGAAAAATATAAATTTTCTGTGAATTTTTAAAATTGAGAAACATTTTGTCTCAGAGCGGGGGATTGTTCATGCCTTGTACGCTCTCTTTCTTTGTGCGACTAGTACTATTGTTGATCTCTTGCAGTTCACGTTACAGATGTGCGTATAATTTTGTAACAAACGAGAACAGGTATAGAAATGAATTGTATGAAGATAACGAACAATATTCAACATCAAAAGTCATTTAAACAATACACATTTAGAGCATATCAAATATGGACCTCCAAAACATCAGAGGTGGGATCAGATGCCATGGAGGAGAGAGTATTCCCTGTCGACAGGTCACACATTCCGTGTGCTGCTTGTCATAATTGAGAAATAACGGGGAAAATACGTCAAAAATTCAATTTGTAAATAATGGCCAACAATAAGTATGAAAATCGTCAGTCAGCATTTGACTTAATGATACATTGTATTTGCTGACAAGGTCATTTTATTGACCATAAAACTGACGAAATGGTGACATTTAAAGGAGACTGCTGATATTCTTGCTTCATCAACATGTTTGTCAATATCTTGCCTCGTTTAGAAATTGTTCATAGCGTGCTCTTGACCTGAAGAATAGCTAGAAACTTTGTTTTTGTTAGCACGATCATATCAAGTATTTCCCCAACATAGCAAGAATTGAGTTGAAAACCAAGAAAGAGACTTCTATTGTAAATTTCGTCAGAATATAATTTTTTCAGAAATATATCCAATTTTGTTTTCATGGCAATTTTTGATACCTTAAACTCGATATTTTAGAGAGAAAGTTGTATAAAAATATTACGTAGTTTGAAATAAAAATTTCTTTGAAATTCCGTATTTGTTTTCATGGCAACACTGACAACGAACTTTTGTCCAATTGATTTAATTTTTGCAGATATCATTTTATAAAGATGCTTGGAATAATCTTTGAACATTTCATATTTACTGTTAGGATAGTTAAGGAGATACATGGAAATGCTATTGAGAGTTGTTTCGCTTTGTCCAATTTCACAGAGGTAGCCAATTTGAAAACTAAAATGTTTGATACAACCTTTGCTGCCTATAAATACAGAGAAGTTTCAGTATAACTGTCCGCACCATCTGCCAGGCAAAATTATAGGCAAAGCAATGCTAGACTATGCCGAAAACAGTTCAATATGGCATTACAATTATTTCTAATAAATGAAGATATTTTTTTGCCTTTAGGAACAATGAAATACTGACCAAAGGCCAGTTTCAGAAAGGGTCCTAAAATATCAAATTACCTTTAATCTGTATTTTTATTGAACTAGATATTAATGAATATATCAAAGTATGTACGAGAAGTATGTAGTTATACATGTTGACCATTGTACTCTAGTATATAATTATCATCATAAGTACAATGATTAAACTGTGACAAAACTTTAATATCTTGCTTTCTTATAAATATTGTAGAACAAATCGTATATTCAGTGTCTTAAACTGTGTTTAGCATAAATATCAATTCATCTAACGTGTTTTGCAATCGTATGATATTTTTATATTCAACATTCTATGTATGTCTGTCATATACACGATATCTTCACATTTTGCCTATATTACCTAAGTAAAGTCTGACAAAGGAATTATAGCAAAAAAAAAGCACACTTTTAACAAATACTGCAGCTTGAGGCTTTTCTATTTCAATAGTAAGAAAACATTATCTTGCATGTCTACAAAATTATCTTGGTATGTTCATATTTTTCGTTGCCTTTTTAAGATCCCATGTTTACCTTTTATCCCATGGACATCACTCATTGGATATTTTTGATATCCCCCAGTTTTTACGCAAAATGTGTTGAAAATGATGAAGAAAATTAAGCCGGATTCCTATATAAAATAATATAAAACATTGATGGGAATACATGTATATAAAACATTGGATAAAAAGAATATCACATGCTGTATGGTTGGGTATGACTTTATCAACTTTGTTGATATTTTTTCGCCAAGGCTCGTGAAAAAAACAGAACTTGTTTGATAAAAATCATCACCAACCACAAAGCATGGGAGATCTGTATTTATTCTCCTTGATTTAATTTTGTCCACAATCATTCAATTACGTCCGGATGCTTCTGAATTTTGTTTACAAAAATTATTTGTGTCAGTAGTCAGTTTGTTTAAATCTTAGGCAAAATAGTAGTGTCGACATGGAAAATATACACAAATTTATACTAATTAAAGAGTACATGTATGATATAATTTATCTGACAATCATATAGAAGTCTTAAAAGACAACAAAGTGAACCACCCTCCAAGGAAAAGAGCAAGCAAATATACATGTATGTGAAATAAAAAATACATCTAATTAAAGTTTAT